CACCCACCCGCGCGAGCGCATAAATCTGACGCGAGCGGCAGACCTTAGGGGAAGTACATGAACGCTAGCGTCCCGCGTTCCTCTGAGACAAGAACACCTCCCACGTTCCTCTGAGACAAGAACACCTCCCACGCGAGCGCATAAATCTGACGCGAGCGACGAAAGAAAGACAGTGAACCTGGCTATTAAGAACCGAATTTTCCATCATTCATATTGTGAACAATAATAACAGAAAAAAATTTTGGTATGACAAAAAAAAAATCAGGCCATTAGATATCCCCGTAGATCATTCTTTTTAAAAAATTCTGGAAGTTTCTGGAATCATTGTAGAACATTAGAGAAAATTCTAAAAAATTCATATAACGTTTTTCGGGCAATATATTCAACTATTATTATTCTTTATTAGTATATTTCTGACTTCTTGAAGGGTATTCATTAAGTCGTCGCGGGATTGACTTGATAAGCCTCGAAAAACGTGATCGTGAATTAATGATGGATAATAGCTGCGATTTTGTTAATAAATTTTCATCTTTTTGATAATCCGCTTCTTCATTTGTTACTGATTGGTTGCCAAGCGCCTAATGATGTTTTCTTAATTCGCCTCGCTTTAATAAAATCTATTCTTTTCATCCGTGCAATTTCACTGAAATTTTCATTTCTTCACTTACAGTAATATCCATTCACCACTGATATCACGAAAAACACGATCAAAGATATTCGGGTTTACAAACTGCATCTTTCTTATCCGAACCTGAAATCTATTTGATTCAGCAATAAAGCTAGGACGTGTACGAGGCCTGTGTATTTCACTTTCAGAATATCCTATCACATTAAAAAGGTTAGTACGCAATTTCTCAAATTTGGTACAGTTACGTGCTGCAATTTCAGTGAAGGTGTAGAAGGAATTAACGATTTGAGTACTTTGTTAATTTATTCAGTATTGCATCGTGGCCTTGATGTTGATTTGAAAGTTTAGATCGGGAAGTCACAATTCTTTCAGGCTTCAATCGTAGCCTTTGTTCTTCATCGGCAATTTCAATTAATCGGTAAATCGGGTGGCGTCGAGCAGGCAAATCGGTGCAAACATTCGTCTAGCCGCAAGTCTTAATGAAGGCCTATTGAAACGAACTCCAGCACGAAAGTTAATAATCGCTTGTAAATAAAAAAAGACTTGTTCATACTTTAACCTGAACATGGGATTAGTTTGATTTTGGACCTAGTTTAAGTAGCCCTTCGACAGAAGGACTTTCCTCGGAAATAACCAGCCTTGGTTCAATGGAATAGAGTAATGGGGCTTGTACTCCATTGGCTCCATTGGCTCCATTGACCCAATTGTGGCACAGTAATTTTGTTGGCAATGGAGCGAATGGAATCAATGGAGTACGTTCCATTGCTCCATTAGCGAATGGAAAAGTTGCCTTTTTAGGATAACCAATAATAATGGCCAATAAAATGTCAAAGCGTCATCTTATCTCATCTCATCTCACGGTTTAATATCGCGGGTGGAAATAATGTATGGCCACATTAATTCGGAAGCCATTTTGAAGGAGAATATTCCAAAAGACTATCTAAACCAAATCGTTTATCAATACTTACTACAGTGGACTCTCCCTAAGTGCAGCTTCTCTAAGTGCATTATCTCTCTAAGTGCAGGAAATAGTCTGGTCCCATGTTGGGACCTATGAGATAAGTGCAGGTTGGCCCCTTGTACCCTAAGTGCAGGTTTCTCTCTAATACTAAGTGCAGGCTTTGGCTTCGGTCCCAACGACCTGCACTTAGGGAGAGTCGCACTGTATACACAGGCAAACTCGATAAGTCGGTCTCTCGATGATTCAATTTTGGCCTAAGAAGGCCAAAACTTCCCAAGCCCTTTTCTCAGTTTTAATATTTAAAATCTCTCGATAAGTCGGTTCTCTCGATAAGTCGGTTCATCATACATGACCGACTTATCGAGTTTGCCTGTGTATCACTGTACAAATTACCCCGTTCTCTCTCGGCGATTTCTGTCACAGATCCAATACGACCTTGTTAGTCATTAAATGCTTCATCTAACCACTTCTTTAATGATGCATTCTCGGATAATAATTGTCGATTGACATCTTCTAGCTCTTGTATCCATTTCAGTCTTTTTCTCTCTTTTTCTTCTGAATCTAAAGAGATTGAGTCACTTGTTTCAGTAACTCGTTTAATAAAAGACTTTTAACGACAATTTGGTTATAATGGCCTTTCACACAAAGAGTAATTCTCTAACGACTCAAGTAATATAGATAGTTAAGGAAAACATTTCTGTTATTCTCACCAGCTACTGCATGTCGCCATTTTTGACTCTGTTTAGTCTCACATCTTGCTAACTGACTTTCATCATATTTGTTGGCAAGAGACTCAAACAGGTAAGGTAAGTCTTTGGGCACTACTTTTACGTTCATCTAGAGCAAAGCGTAAACTTTAAACTCAATTTAATAGAAAATGACTATGTAAGGTTGTGGAGATCTAATCAAATTCCAATGTCGAGTGCCAATCAGATTTCGAGATTCTCTTGCAGATTATTCTAGAATTGATCTGCAAAATTTGACCGCATTATAATTGGCCAATTTTCGGTAAAGATGTCAGCGAAATCTTAAACTACCGGTAGTTCTAATTTTACGTGCAACCAATCAAATTCTAAATGCACTTGTTTTTTCCTGAGGCTTTTCTTAGATTAATATTAATGTATTTGTCAAGAGCTTTGACATGTTTGAATAGTTCTCAGCATCGTTTTGTTGTTGTAGAAAATTATGGACTATTTCTAGCCTCGTTAACACTAATTATTTTGGGCTCAATACTGTCATCGGCCTCTTCGCTATTGCTATCGGTAGGTAAATCTGACTGTTTTCTATATATATAATTCAACAAGTTCTTCATTGCGGGAACTACGTCTTCTTCCGGTTTACTCAAAAATTCTTCAATTGACATGGTAGCCTTGGGGATTTTACTCGATTCGGAATATTCTGGACTCTTCGAAAACGATTCCATATGATAATAACGTAATTTATTGAAATTATATAATAATACAAACTTTATTATGGTCTTTCAATATAATCATAATTATCAACTTTCGTTGTCCGAATTGAGTACAAACCTTACCTCTTCTAACATCTTTAGTAGTTGATCACGTCTTTTAGACTTTATTCCAATATACCTTTTTCGAGTATTCTCACTCACCTCTTCGATGATCGTGCTAGAATATTTGATAGCTGACGCTGTAAGATTCATTTCCGAGACGTATTTGCCGTGTCTGGATCCATATATCAAATCGACAGCCATAGCACTTTTGTATAGTTTCTCGGTATTCGAAGATTCTGTATTGACATCATTGTTAGTTAGAGTTTCAATAAACCTTACGACAACTTGATTACTATTACGTTTACTCAGCCAAGCCTGCGGCATATAGTGTAACAATTTTCTAATGAAAACCTTAATTAAGGATTTACTGTACATAGAAATTACCAAGACGTTCCTTATAGAAAAAAATGTTCATACACCTCGACACCACTTGTCTAGTAAAACAGACAACGGCTCACAAATATCTCATAGTTCAATGTGTTGCGTCTTCATACAACTTCGTGCATATAAAGCTATTACCGTAAACTATCGTGAATAAGGGCCCACCTTCATCATATAAGGCTCTTATTCACGAGATGCCTTAAAAACAATGCAAAATGATCTACGAATCGTCACGTAACAATGCCCACGTTATCTCTATTTATTACATAATCACGAACTATAAAGTAATATATGACGTCGATTGTTGATGTGATAAGTGAGGGGCCAGCTGTTTCATAACATTACGGCCCTTATTCACGATAGCAATTTTTTCATATGAGGGGCCCTTATTCACGATAGGCCCTATTCACGATAATCAAAATTTTCATTCCACTTAATGACTCTGTGCAAACACCCCTATACAAACCGTCCAAAGACGATATAATAAGAATGTTTGGTTCAATAACAAACATCACGAAAGAAGAGAGTAAAAGTTTGTTACATCATACATCATTGGTATAACGTAAATTTACATATGACTGATTTACTGTAATACAATCTTCAGGTATATCGACATACAGATGCCAAAACACACATTATGATACCAAATCCCTCCCACAGAATTCCACTCACATTATCTGCTTGGATACTTTAAAAGATCAGCCGCAAGTACAAGAGGATTATTGGAACCTTAACATAGCATCTAAACAATTTGTTGGAAAAGATGCAAACGGTCTGAAATGGTTCTGGTATCTGAATCCCTCCCGCAAACTGTACTCAGAAATAGATTACTTTGATCAGATGACATTCAGCACCGGATGATAAGCAGCTCCTGTCTAACATTCAACAACCTATCGAAGAGAATGAGTGCTCTAAGATTGATTCTATTGATTTCATCTTCTCTCAGTATCTCTGAAATTTGATATGTGGCTTCCATTTAGCCCATAATTTATAAGAGTTGGCAATTATTAGTCAATGATTAAAAATAAGTTTAAGGTAGTAAACATTTAATTTTTTCTCATCGACTTTAAAGTTGTAAACAGCCTTATATGTATTACAGTATGTACAGCACATCGCAAATAATCATCTTATCCCAATCGTATACACCTAACAAGATATCATTTTATTTATTAACGAACATAAAACATTACCAAAAGATTTTGTGCTCTTTCTTTCTATCAGAAATCGATCAGAAATACACTAACAAGTAATGTCGAAAGCCTAATACAACGAAAAATTTAAACACACTATCCATAGAGAAAGTCACGAATTACAATCCGCTTGAATACGATCTTCGCATGTCAAAATCTCTCCTGCAAATTCAACTCATGGATCATCTTGAAAAGATCTTAATATAGGATGTAAACTATGTCATGTCGTAATAGTAATAAGAAAATACTAAATGATTCCGAAAATAAATGATTCCACAACACCACACTAACAAAAACAAACACCAACAAAAATTTACTACTGATATATATACAGTATATATATATATATTACTAACTAATGTTTACAATCGACTATTTACTTACACACCTTCACCTCTACAAAAAACCATTACATCTGTCACTACCATCATTGATATGTAATCGTGAAGAAAAGCCTCTTAAGTATTATTACTCTAGCTACATATGTAATAGTAAATTACGTACCACAAATTACATATGTAAATCCGGGATTCACATAGTGACGCAAATTACCGTAGTGCACTGACTAAACTACCCCCCCCCTGTGTAAACTACCCCCCTTAGGTTTTGAGCAGAAATTTTGTAAAAGATCCGGGTGTTTTACTTAGAGGTTGTTTTTTTTAAGTTTAAAAATAGCTGATCTTACTTTATTTATAAATCATTATGCAACTTTATTATTTAAATTCATTTTATTATTTATGCTATAACATTTTAAATTTCATTCCAGTTATTATAATCTTGCCCATCCTCTTCCCCACCCTCTTCCGCTAATTTACTATCCATATAACTACCACCATTATTTTCTTTATCCTCATCAATCATAAGATTATGATCTACATATTGCATCCGATTAAAAACCCCCCCTCCTATTACTATCAAAGTACCCCCCTGATTAAACTACCCGGGTACTTTGCAAATTCAGGAGTAGATTTGTAAAAAACCCGGGGTAGTTTAGTCAGTGCACTACGGTACATACAACAGTACACCAGGTACAAAAGTTAGATATCAGACCTCAAATCACTGTATATGTATATTTTTGTCCATCCTTTTTAGATCACACTTATAAGGTAGACGGGTAATTTGGCGTTACTAAGTTAACCGTTTATAACAAATAGAAAAGGATTGCAAAATTGAATTGGTGCCATTCCATAAATAGTCCTTAAAATCGAGACAAAGCTAGAGACTGGCGTATCGTTGAAACGGGTATAGCATTTGCAAGACTCAGGTTTATTACAAAAAATTTAATTTTCTATTTCCGTCGATTTTAGCAATCATCTTATTCCCGATTTTCATTTCTTTCTAGCATTGTACAACACATGTACCTATATATATATAGTAACTAGTAGGGGGAAATGGGGCAGTTTTCATTAGACGTGTTAGATGGTAAATCGCTAAAAAATCATAAGTCTAATAAAAATTTTCGCTGAATTAGATGAAAAATCGTTAAAAAATTCATGTCTAATAAAAATTTTGTAAGTCTAACGCTTCGCACAGCTTTTACCGAGATAAAATCTCATTTGCTTCGCAAAGGCACTTAAGCACCGCTCGCACTATGACTTATTCCATTTGCAAAGGCTTTAAGACGCAACCTGTGATAGTACTGAGACACATAATACCTTAGTCAGCTACCCAAAGAGGTAAGCGATAATGCTTTGCGAAAAAAAGTAGAGAGCTCGGAAAGTGTATGTTTCTACTATCCTCAAATTAAGTCAAGAAAATATTGATAATGTAATACTTCACTTTGCACGTACTGAGTAGGTGTGTAGCCATGTCCCGGATGTCACACTTTCAGTAAAATAACATCCATTATACTTTGTGCAAACTATACAGTATCTATCACTTGGCGCATTTATATTAAAGCTAATATATCGATAGTATAAAAATACAGGAGAGGCGGAGCCTGTCTCACTCTGCGAGTCGTCAATTGAGAAGCAAAGCTTCGAGGTGTTGTCTCTGAAATTCTCCGATTGCATAACAGATATTCCTAATTTAATCAAAGCGTAAAAATTGAATCGCGTTTTAGGTATATACAGTACATATAAGTCAGTGGGTACCACAGGAATGGGGAGTATTTAAGATGGACTTAAATGAAGAGTTCTATGACCTTATACTCCTGAAGAATGGCACTTCAGAGAAAGAAAAAAACTTTTCAAGCTCGACAATTGATACAACTAGCGGATGGTACTTCTTACTCGCCCACAATTGGAATTGCAATCTGTTTCTCGTGTGATCAATCAGTATACATTGGACAGATGACCAAAAATAGGGAAATAATTATAGTCACATTGGAATAGAAAACATTGGGGTAACTATTGTACCGGAAATAAATTTTGCAGTGCTAATTACGAAAAATACTTAGAAGTTAAACGAAAATCCAAATCTAAACGCAACTACAATGACAATTTCGCTTTACGTCATTATGAACTTTGGTTTACGAATGCAATTAGTAAAGTTAAACGCGCTATAGATGTATCGAAAAAGGTTCGAGCCTGTACAATTATACAAAAAAATTTTATCGAATAATATTATCGTCCATTTGGAACTTACGCCCAAAAATTAGCTAAACATTACAAACGCTTATGGACCGTTCGTGAGCGGTACCGCAGAAATGTGTCAAACTAACAATATAGGGACGTTTTCGCTGTGATATCACTTAGACACAAATAATTTATTGGAGGCGAAGTTGCTTTGCAAAGTAAAACTTTCTTTCTTTGTCTTTGTTATCTGATGAGTCGGAGACTCGGCTCCTTTGTAGCCCTCGACGAATAAGAATATCAAACTGGTGGCATATAGAATAAAAATAGGTTTATTATTGTCAACGTGCAAAGCGCGCTCGCTCTGCGAGATATCAAACTGGTAGCATATAGAATAAAAACGAGTTTAATTTTTTTCCCCTAATATATTATCACAGCAAAGCTGTGCGCGGAGCATCATGAACAGCCAATCATCACCACAGCGCCGTATGGCACAGACTCGTGTCCGTAAATTTCTCAGACCGGAGTCACCCCATTGACACCTGAAGCTATCGAAGAAATCAGAAACGCACCAGAAAATATTCCAAATGCATGTCGTGTGATGTGTAAAAAATACCATATAGGTACGAAGCGATATAACGATATAATTAATAATCGACTATCTTCTGAATCGGTCATTTCACGTGACACATTGTTTATTGCACTTATCATTGGTTTTCGATGAAATTTATGTCGGTCTGAATCAACTAGGAGTGGCGTCGTATTATTGAAGAAGCGGAGCTTCGAGGCTCTGCCTCATCGGTTAATGAGACTTGCGTAGCATGGCCCCTTTGAAGCATGTATATATTTGCAGAGCAAAGAACTTTTACCAAGTTAGACACAAAATCAGAGGCTTTGCCCCGCCGTACGGCTAAATATGAAAAAACTAATACAGTCCAGTGGTACCACCGCAGAGTGAGGATGGAGTCTGACATTAGTAATTTTTACGCCACAATATAATACAGTCAACCTCCCCTATAGTCACACAGTGTAAAACCATGGGAGTGTGACTGTATAGAAGGGAGACTTATATTAGTCATGTGACTATATTATTATAATTCTGTTATTTTATTATTATTAGATCACAAATTTCACGCTTATTTTCTATAGACATTTCTTTGAAATTATTTTATTTTCGACTTGCAGCGATATTTAAACGTTATCAAGTTGATATGTTATACCCAAATATTTATTATTATGTATAAAATTAATAACACGTGCATTTGAAAGGTGTTACTGGTCTTGAATGTAACACAAGTATTTGGTGACTACTCTCCTTTTATAGTATGCATACGTTGGAGTTTTGCGTTCTTTTATTGTCTACACCTATGCATACATATTAATATTAATATGCACGTTCACGTTATGCAGGCTCCTTTATGCAAATGAACAGATTATGCAAATATGCGTTATGCAAATAGACAGGTGTCAAACCTCTTTATACTGATATGATATTCTTTATACCGATACCGATAAAGTTTACCCGAACCAGTCCTACTGGATTATACTGCTTATACTGATAAACTCTAATAAATCTCTTTATTAGCTATATGGTGCAAGTCATCTATACCCGACAATCACGTGATGAAAAAATAAAGTTGTTCTTCATAACAAGCTCTACAAAGTTACCAGTCAGATTTTTGATTAGGGATTTTGTTAATTCAAAATTGAAACAACCACGTGATCATGTGAGTAGCATATAATTGGTTAAAATTGGTAGATCGAAACTAAATATATTATTATTGTCTTGTTTCGATTTAATTAATTTTTGCTTACCATATTACAATATTATTGGTCAATTAAAATTGAAACAATATGAGATTTTCTCTGATATTATTGTGCAACACCAAAATTGACCAATCAACTTATCTCAGTTATTGTGAAACGAAAGAATAAAGATAATATTACATCAAACCCACAAAAAAACAAAAGGCTCACTGACGGCACTTCGAGTTATTCCCTCATCGGGTTCCTCTTCAGGAGGACATACCACTGCTACAATTTGTGAGTAGCGCAATAGAATTACTGGTAAATCCTCCCGGGGATTTTGCTTTTGATATTAAAATGATATCAGAACTGCGTCAAAGAAAAAACAATCAGCAATGGATAGTTTTATAAGCACCAGTTAACTCATAAGAACTCATAAGTATGTGATGAAATAATGATTTTTATTTCAAAATAGATACGATTATTAGTTAATTTGTTATACCGATATAATGAAGTTTTCATAAACAATATCAGAGTCTGATTAAAACAGCTGGTGCCACATAAAGAGGTTGACTGTATACCTGACTGTAGTTGTAGTGTTACAGACATATGGGAGCATGACAGTAGGTCGTTGCAGGAGCATGATTGCAGGAGCATGACAGTAGGCCGGAGGTTTTGTTGCAGGAGCGTGATTGCGGGAGCATGACAGTAGGCCGGAGGTTTTGTTGCAGGAGCATGATTGCAGGAGCATGACTAACTACCCCCCAATGATCACTTGATCAAATCACATATTTATATATATATAACCCCCGTGTTCGCCTTTCCTTCCCTTTGCAAATGGATTCAACATATGTCGCACCAGAATGTCTCCAAAAGGTTGATGAATACTTCAAAAAAACGCCTGTGAAGCATTGGCATGATTTTGCCACCTTTGCCAAAAAACAACCATCGAATACCGTTAACAGCATATTATCACGATATTGTGGCTCCTTAATCGCTCTTAGCGATGGATCAGCCGTGCCAGAGAAAGTTCGAAATTATTGCAGGGACCTTCATAAAGCAGCTACTGTAAGTGTTTTGATGACAATTTTCATCTCAAATACTGGTACTTTTGCTTATTCTATTGGTATATAATTAGACGTCGAAGAAGGAATGTTTTAAAGAGATTGCAAAACATGTCATAAAAGTCAAGACTGTCGAGGACCGTATTGTTAGATTGGAGGTATATATAGTCTGATTGGTTTTTACTGCTTGAATCAGTTTAGATTGGCATTGATCACGTTCTTGTCTTTAGAAGGAACTCTTGATAAATGCCAAACTGGTGAGCGGTTCACATGTCGCTGTAGCTCTTGACAACTGGAATCCTGAGGATGTTGAGGAAGCACAAGACAAACTTGAGGAAGAGCATGGGGACAGTGCAAAACTGCAGGAAGCACAAGACAAACTTGAGGAAGAGCATGAGAACGAACCCCCAGACAGCATTTCTACTCCACTCGATGCTGGTCAATTACTGATCCCAAATAAGCGAGTGATAGCAGACCAAAACATTCAATCGTGCGTTTATAGCGCTTGTCATATATACTCATTATTGGAAGAAGTAATAATACTAATACATAGTTTATCTGACTTTGCTAACAGATATATGGATGACATGCACATCATCGCAGCTGATAGTATGACACCAAAGGAACTAGCGGCAAGAGTAGGGGAAGAGAGAGCAAAGGATATTATATCAGCACGGAGTACCAGCCCTAATATATGGACGGCTGTAGAGAAATATGTTGATAGTGCTCTGCAGGTACTGTACTCTTCAGTAGTTTTCCAGGTAATACATACATATAGTAATAGTAATATGAATCTATGTTTTACACCACAGACCAAGAACACAGCTTTCGAAAACAGCAACAACAATGATGAGAACCTCTTCAAGTTGTATTGCAAGAAAGTCTTGGACGATTTGTATGTAATATTATTATTGTTTTGATTATGCTTTCCAGCATATTAATAATTCATTTGTTAAATTCAAGTTTCAATATGGTCGACATATCTCCCAATTTGAGCCGCGCAGTGGGAGAACGAAAATATTTGGCATATCACGTGGTGCCATTATTTAAATTCTATGAGCGAACCTTCAATACGATCGATTTTGACTGGGCTGAAACACACATGAGCTCAGCCAAAATGATGAAATCTGCAGAAGACTCCGGCATCATACTAGCTGATGCTAAAGGTACGCGGATGCTGGATGGATTGGAGGTCTGGCATCTTGAGATTGCTGGACCTCCAAAACGCTGGACAAGAATCCACATACTTGGGGATTCTAAGAAAACAATGCGCACAGATGCGCTCAACCTTTTGCGAATTTTGGAAGATAGGTTAGACTGTGATGTTGCTCTTGCAAGCGACATAAAGGTGTTCTCAATGCTAGGCATTGGTATGTAAGGCTATCTATTTTGTAGTGTAATTAGTTCTGATGTACTCATTCCACACTATGTATTCTCTTTCTATAGATACACGCATCACACTATATTCCCTGAGGATGCTTAAGGATGGCCAATTTTTGGCAACAGAGTTGGCCACAGCAATAGTCCCATTCAGTTATAATGGAAGAATGCAGATGAAGGCTGTATTACGTATGATGGCAATAGTGCATGTATGTGTTTAAGTGAAGTTTGTACAAAAGTTATACATATACATGCGTCTTGTTAACCTCTATACTTGGTGTTGCAGGATGAGTTGACAAAGCAAGAAGCATTAATTACAGAAATTGATCGGCATGTCACCTGTCCTGAAGGAAAAGTTACTGTCCGTGAGGTTCTACGTATACCAAAAAGACTGCGAACCAAATAGAGATTGAGACGTGTTAGATGGTAAACCGCTAAAAAATCATAAGTGATAGAACATTTTGCCAATTTAGATGGTAAATCGCTAAAAAATCATAAATTAATTTTCGCTGAATTAGATGATTATGAACAACAGCCTTCCTCTCATGATTCTCCTTATTGTTACCATCGAGAGTGCGATGTATATGTCCGCCAAACCATAGCCATGCACCTCACTATTATAATTATGAACAACAACAACCTTCCTCTCACGATTCGAAATTTCACTATGTGTCATCAACCGCCTCCTATGGTCAAACATCTCCATATCAAGAGGACACCTATCACAATCAGTGGTGATCATATTGAGAGGACACTGCGTCAACAATCAATGATGGTGAAACATCTATATCATGGTAGCTATGCACCTCACCATTATGAACAATAGCAGGTATAGACAAATCAAATTTAACACTATGGGTTGATGCTGAATTGAACATTATAAATTCACTAATGTAGACCCGCGCTTTTTCCAATTGATCTTTTGCTACAGCAATTTGTTTTCTGGTTTTCGGCTTGTCGTTCTGATCTTGTTGATCGTCCCTCCCCCCGGCGAAAATAAGACAACGAAAAGAGTTCGAGAGGCAAGCTGAACTCTATTTTTAAACGATAGAATCGCAATAACCGCAGAGATTTTTACATAGTAATAGACGTGAGAAGGGATGATCCCGAGGACATCATAACGATGGATTTGGAAGACGTTTGAAAACGGTAGTGGATCAATCAAACGCGCGCATCGAATGGACGGTCAGGATGAGTAGAGGTTTTTCGGTATCAGGAAGGCAGAAAGCAGATTACGAAGAACCATCATAAAAAATACGGGTCAAAAGAAACATACTGATTACACCGCTCACCACCTTCGCAAGGGCGACGTGATGACAATTCAAACAATTACAAGTAGAATGAAATTCAGTTGTTCATTGAAAGATACATGGATACAAGAAATGAAATGATTTTATTATATTAAAGACATTTTGTAAAAACAACTATAATCATAATAGATATGTATTAGCAAATAATGTTATGGAGGAGCCTCGCCAAAAAATACCGTCGAAACGAATGAGACTATATAGCCTTTTGTAATAGTAGTATCCCACGCACATGCTCATTTTACGCACCTGCATAAACATAATTTATTAATCAACAACCTTATTCCCAATATTAATCACGCCTACAGTCCACTAATCCATTTATCTTACCATCCTCTCCATAACTTATCTGGGTAAGTTCGAATCTTGATTGATTTATTTGACCTGGGTCACTCTTTGACAGTTATAATATTAATATTAATTGTAAATTTATACAATACAAAATGCTTACCAGATGTTATTTAAATCTAACCAGCCTACCCATGACGATGCCGCCATTGCGGGCTACTGCTTGCCTTTTCGTCAACACTCTTTCTGACTGAGTTCATTATACAGTTCTACCTCAGGTATATCCCCCCAACTTGTTCCCAACCTCAGTTATATCCCAGCTTTGATGCTCGGATTTCCCTTATTTTAATTCCATATAAATCTACCTCAGTTATATCCCACTCAGATATATCCCTATCCCCAATCCTATAGTAAACGTGACTTGATTTGTTGCCTGATTTTTTATTGTATCGAGAAAATTCTAACACAAATATTCATATATAGAGATGACACGATTTATTGTGTAATACAATGATACATATATGGTTAATATTAATAAATTTGCTTAATATTAATATTAAGGGGATATAAATGTCACTAATTCGACGCGTTGAGACATAAATCAGGCCACATAATAATATCAGGCCGTAAATCAGGCCATACATTAAGTCAGGTAATAAATAAAAGACCAGGTTCAAAAATCAAATTACCAATTGTCAGTCTTATTACAGTATTAGTATTAAACCATTACTCATCGAAGACATTCTTCTGACTGAATGTCTTGCAACAGACACAAACAGATATGGAAGAAAATTTAAGTGAAGGGTATACATAAAGGTAGGAAGAGAAGCGACAGAGAGAATTTGCAACAGAAAATGATATTAGATACATGCGCAATATAATTCGGCGCTTGGATGAGTCAGTAGAAGGTCGAAACATCAAACGTCACTGATAGAATTTATTAACCAATAAAATTGCATGATATTATCTATCAGTGTCTTGTGTTTGTCGTCACTCTAGTAATGGCAGGGTTTCTCTGTCAGCAGCAGGGAAATTGGTAACTGAGCCGGGTGGGTGACAGTCGGGTGGAACCCTTTCTTCCATTCTCCTCTAGCCTCTTCTCCACCCCATCGATTCTCGCCTCGACGCGTCTGACCTTTGTGTCCACAATGTAGTTGATTCCCCCACAGACAATTCCCGTCAATGTTCCGATTTTTATTCCGACGTCGTTATATTTATTCCAGAGGGTGCCGATATCTGAAATGTAATATGGCTTGGTTTTGGTGTTCTAAGGTATTCGTTGTTTCCGTTAGTCGTCGTCGTAGAATACAGGCGGCGTCCATGTTTCTGAAAGACATGTTTTTGCGATTTGAGAAATGAAGTGGGTGGAAGTGGTTTTGGGTTTTGGGGTGGGGGATGGAAGGGAGGAAGTGTGCTACATGTATGTTTTTTTCGCGTCTTTAAAGCAACGTCATCACATTACATCACAGCGCAAGCCACATGTTCACTTTGTGATCCCTAGATTCCGTGAGATAATATTCTAGTTGATTTCGCCTTCTTGGTCTTCATTGGTAGCTTCGATTACATAACATTCAGAATTGAGTAATTCGGGATACTTCTCTCTCACACTTCGTATTTGTATGTTTACAATGAACAATCGCACGATTAATAATTGGTTTGGTGTATCCTTTATTTGGCACAGCTACGTGGATACGCTAAAGCTGTTGCACGATTAATAATTGGATGATATATATAGTTCTACTTTTAAACCACAATGACATTGATAATGTAACAATCATGCAATATGATATAGATACTTCGTAATCTCGCATATACAGTAATAATGTCATCAATTGTATGATCAATATTCACTAATTTTCAACAATGCTACAGTGATACTTCGATATCAATATAGTTAATTCTTATGCTGTCAAAGCGATTGTTGAATTATTTTTTGCAAATCGAAATGTACACAGAGATACAAAGATTTAACTGGATTAGTGGTGATAGGAGCGTCATAACGATTCGGGAGTACACCTTTAGCGTTCAATCGTAGGCGTAGACAAATAAAGAACGCAAAACTCCATAACGATTCGGGTATCCAAAACAATTGTAATACAGGACCTGCGCTACTGGGGTAATTTTGCGCAATTGACAAGATTCTCATCTCAATCTATGAGCCCAGAATCCTGTCGTCGAAGACTCATAAGGATGGGTCTTTCGTATCATAAACTGATAGCAGTAAGTTAAATAATAAAAATTTTAACAATAAAAGTTGCCGTCTTTTTAAATAATGTGTAAAGTGATAGCAATAGCAATAGTGGTATATAATTAAATTGGAATAACAAATGTGTCTTTGCGAACTATACAATAATAAATGTCTCTTTGCTAATTATATAATGACCGATATCCAATTTGATCATTAGTTTTATTTTCTCTAAAAACCATTATGTTAATCTCTGTAAACCTTTACAACATGAAGAATTGATGGTTTCGATTCTGAAATGCAAATTTTCTGATAAAAACAGTTCTCTTGTAAACACATCCGCATCTACTTCAGCAAGTGTAAAATTGCAATTGTATTTTATACCCATATGTATTATCAACGATCTCTCAGAATATTCGCTGATAGCACGCGCTACCTGTAATTAACAATGGAAGGGTAAATACATCCTATTGTAGTTTCATCGCGGTCACGTCAAGCTGGAGAAAGAATTGTGGTCGATGCCATTAATATTAATTATTGAGTACAATATGTGGCAATCTGTTATACTTACGACTAAGCTGAAGACATTATTATTAGCTTGTTCGGTAAACCTTGTTTCTGTAATGAAGGCACTGACTGTGATCGTTGCAGTGTCCTATTCTGCTGTCTGTCTCCTTGTATCACTGGGATGTACTATATATCATCCATAACTTGCCCATTCTCCACTTTCCTAATCGGTATTCAGTAATTACCCCGGTTTAAATTAAGGACAGAAATAGGAAGACAAAATATGGTGTGGACGATCTGTGAAACTTGACTCTATCGTTTGGTTGCAAGATGTCATATAAACTACATATAATATTAATATTAATGTTGTACCTCAGTTGGGGACCCGTCTCAGTTCTGGACTGAGACAATGACCAACTGTCTCAGTTCTGGACCGAGAC